CGATAAAGTTCAATACTGTGCATGTTGTTTGACGTTCCTAACAGAACCTAACACTAGTGGCCTAATCTGCCCACTAGAGTGTGCACATGGTGTCCGGTATTAGTTTGTGCCGGCAGATTCCGGTATTAGTTTGTGCCGACAGATGTTCAATTATCAGTTACGTGACTTATGTCGCGAGATCAGACCGGTATCAGATATCAGTTTCAGTTTCAGTTTCAGTTCAGTTATATATGCCAAGATCATGATATTGTTATTATTTTCAATGTTTACATTAGTATGAGTTTCTGCGGGGCACAAGTGTTTTAGTGCTCACGCCCCCACGTATTTCATGTTTTTCAAGTCGCAAGGTCGGGGACGAGGAGTGAGCTGGCGGGCTGTTCAGGATATTTGTGAGTTATGTATATATGTTTTGCCACGCTGTTATTCCGCTAAACTTTCAAGTACTTTTAAACAGCTTTTGAACCGACTTTAGTCGGTTAATATATTATAACCGTTTTATTATTCAGTTTAAAATTTAATGGTTTTCAGAAAGTTCAAGTTTTCACGGTAGCATCCCGAATCAGTTTTCGCAAAATTAATATTTTATTTAATTATTCAAAAAAATTGCAAAAAACGCGTACTCTGATTTCAGTAAAAAGTCGGGGTGTTACAATTGGTATCAGAGCACGTTTCAGGGTCTCTGAAAAGTTTTTCAGTCAGTAATTTTCAGAAAAAACCTGAACCGTCACGCTCACGCCTCGCCGACTACAGGTAAGTGCTGATTTAGTTTTCAGTTATAAACATATTACTTTGTCTATGCTCAGAAATTATTTACCAGAACTTAGTTAAGATGCTCGAATCAGATTCAGACTTTAGGATTCAGATATGACTTTAGAGATCAGTCTACTCAGAAATGACTCTAGAATTCAGTATTTTCCGAGATGACCTTAGAGTTCCTCAGGATTCACGTCAGTATTTATCGGCCATTTTTGGCGACTCGTAAAGAGATTTGTGTGCCTTAGTAATCAGTCAGAATATTATCACATGTTCAATAATGTTGAACTTTCTCAATGTTCAGATGTCGCCCCGTATGGAACCCGATCACCCGGCTCCTACTCAGGCCACAGTAGTCGCACAGTTTCGCGACTATCAAGCCGAGAAATTCTCCAGGCAGGGAGATCCTCGTATCGTGGACGAGTGGATTCAGGGCCTGGAGTTTATCTTCGAAGTCATGGATTGTCCTGATAGATATCGCGTAATCTGTGCTCAGCTTCAGCTCACCGGTGATGCTCGGCTCTGGTGGAATGCCTACTGGAGTATGCGTCCCAGCGAGAAGGCGGGATGTACGTGAGATATGCTCAAGGAGTTGATCCGCGAGAAGTACTACCCCACCTACTACCGAGCAGAGATGGAGCGTCAGTTTCTATCGCTCCAGTAGGGTACTCGTACTATTGACGAGTATGAGAGGGAGTTCACTAGACTTGCAGCTTTTGTTCCTGATTTGGTTCGCACGGAGGCCCAGAGAGCACAATGCTTCATTGACGGGCTTTACCCAGTAGTCCGTCATAACATCGTAGGCCACGAGACCCAGACGTATGCTCGTGCTGTTTCGATTGCCCAAGAGGTGGACGCCAGCATCAGGAGGAAGGCCGTCCGTGATCGTTCTCAGCCATCCGCCCCTGTTCAGTCATCTTCAGTTCCACCGATGTCACCAGTCACTGCCCAGTCACCGAAGAACAACAAGAGGAAGGGAAAATGTGCCCCGATGGACATGAGTACCCGGCAGAGGCTACAGCAGATTCCACAGTGCCCGACATGCGGACGACTTCACCGAGGCGAGTGTCGCTTTGGTCAGGATGTATGCTACTCCTATCACGAGCCCGGAAACTTCGCGAATCGTTGTCCGAAGAAGGCGCAGCAGCCTCAACAGCCTCAGCAGCCACCGCAGCAGCAGCAGCCATGTCAGCAGGCACAGAGGCCACCTCAGCAGCAGCAGCAGAGAGGCAGACAGCAGGCCCGAGTCTATGCAGTTGATCAGGCAGAGGCCGAGCAGCAGCCAGGTACTATGTCAGGGATGGTTGTGCTTAATAATGTTCCTGTGTTTACTTTGTTCGATACTGGAGTGACGCATTCTTTCATTTCACGACAATGTCTTGATGCCATCGGAGTTCATGCCGTCATCGCTGTCGATCTTCTCGAGGTGAGTTTAGCCTCGGGACGAAAGATAGTGACTTCAACTAAAGCTTCAGATCTTAGCCTTTTCATCGGCCGAGTATTGTCTACCAACGCGTTTGTTCTCGAGATGAGGGACTTCGACCTTATTCTCGGAATGGATTGGCTATCCTTTTATCATGCAGATATCAGATGTAACGACCGGGAGATTACTCTTTATCTTCCGGGAGACGACTTGATCACTTTCTTTGGCTCCAGGAATCGTTCATTGCCTCATGTTGTTTCGATGGCGAAAGCCACTAAGTTGCTACGACGAGGCAACTGCCAGGGTAATCTGGTAAGCCTTGTCGATGATTCTCATAAAGCACGCTCACCTCACGACGTTCCAGTCGTTCGTGAGTTTGTGGACGTGATCCCAGACGAGCTTCCAGGAGGACCGCCTAACCGGCAGGTAGAGTTCTCTATCGATCTCATTCCAGGAGTCGGTCCAGTATCCAAAGCCCCATACCGTATGGCGCCGAAGAAGTTGCAGGAGCTTAAGGCGCAGATTCATGAGCTATTACGACTCGGTTTCATCCGACCGAGCATGTCACCTTGGGGAGCGCCCGTTCTCTTTGTCAAGAAGAAGGACGGATCCATGCGCATGTGTATCGACTACCGGGATCTGAACCGATTGACGATCAAGAACAAGTACCCGCTTCCCAGGATCGACGACTTA